CTCACCAACTTTCCTTCTGGGAAAAAAAAAAAAGTATTCGTGAGCACTTTAGGCTAGTATAAAAACATTAAAACAATTAAAAAAAAACCCAACTCTGTCATAAATCTTTCTCTCTGTATCATGACTCTCTCATTCTGTCTTATTCTCTCTCTCAGAGATAAAGGTTTTATTTATACATGCATGTTACATAAATATCTATATGTATTACAAATATACATCTAAATATATACCTGTATATATACATATATGTCATATATATATATATATATATATATATATATATATAAAAATAACTTTTTGTATCACAAAGAGTTGCTGAAATCTTCCTACAAGATAGAAAAATTCCTGACCTGCTGCAATTATCTAAAGTGCCTAAAATACTCCTATAAACACAATTACAAAGTATTTTCTCCAACTACATCACAAAATATTAATGTGCTAACTTTAGTTCCATGTTTTGAGCCTCTCCTGGGCTGGGTGTGGGTTGGGAATATGCTCTTTATGGTAACATCTATTGGATCATCTGCTGACAAAGCAGATTTTTTAAAGCTTACCCATAATCGCCCTAATTAAGCCATCAAGTGTCAGGACTTGCTGTGTGAATTTGATTAACTCTAGCCATCTCTGTGGTGCAACTGATGTTGATACATCAAGGGACTGACTGCCTTGGGAGCAATTTCCTTATGTGTATGGCATCTCCCCCTCCCCCTTCCTGTACTGAAAAAGTATTAAGGAAGGTTTGCAATGCTGCCCTCCAAGTCTGTGAAACTTCCTTTTAGCTGGGAGCCCAATCACATCCAAAACCTTTTTTATGCCTACATTACTATTGCCTTTATACCTTTCTGTGGCACTTAATTTATCAATATAATACAACTTGTAATATGTAAGGTAGATTGTTCATGTCTCTAACTTCCACTAGATTGTGAGCAACTTATTTGTTCATCTTTTGATCCTCTCTAATGGACACACTGTTCCCAATACTCTAGCACAAATATTTGATATTAAGCAGAAGAAGCCACCTGAAGACCAACATCCAATCTTCCCTCCCCCCCCACCCCCCCACCGTGTCCCCAACCATCCCCATCACCACACAACTGACTGAAAAGAGCAAAGAAAAATAAAAACAAGGAGAGTTGTTTTCTTATTGAAAGCATGCTTTACAGTGTTCACTAAGGGATTTATCTTTTTAAACCTACTTATCACATGCCTTTGAGGAAATACTATTGAATGAAGGTCATTGTGATGGTTAATCTTATGTGTCAACTTGGTTAGACTATGGTGCCCAGTTGTTTTGTCAAACACTAGTCTAGATGATGCTGTGATTGGTATTTTGTAAACGTGATTAACATTTACAATCAATGGACTTTAAAGGAGGAGATTACCCTCAATAATGTAGGTGGGCTTCAACAAGTTGAAGGCCTTCAGAGCAAAAAACGAGGTTTTCCAGAGTAGAAGGAATACCATTCCTTCCTCAACACCTTAACATAAAAATCACCCCTATGGATTCTGGACTCAAGACTACAACTTTAACTCTTGTGTAAGTTTCCAGCCTGCCCCCTGCCCTACGAATTTCAGACTTGCCAGCTTCCACAATTGAATGAGCCCATTCCTTAAAATAAATCTCTCTATCCATATATGTATCCAGAGAATTCTAACACAGTTGTGTTTCTAAGCAGTTCTTTTACAATATTTCTGAATGTTTTGCTAAATGAATATATCTATATTCTTACTTTTGTTATATTGAATAAGGGTAGGAGTTTATATAGTAATTAATGGAAGTCTGTTCCTCTGTTGGTATGAAGAACAAGAGAGTATTGTCAAAGGAACCCAACAACAATGGCACCTCTTCTGGCAAGCATGGAAATCTTACACCAGAGGTTTCCAGTATGAAGTTCTATTTAAGTCCAGAGTGTGCAGCCTACCTAAGCACTATAACCTATACATTTGCCTCAGCTAGTTCATATGAATTGACAAATCCTAACCAATTTCCAATAAAGAAACTGAGAAGTTTAATCAAAACATTTTCTTCCAAAAAAGATGGGCTATAGTTGTGGGGGGGTGGGGTGGGCAGGGAGGAGGGTTTTAAGAGTTAATGCAACACAATATAAGAGGTTGGTTTGCCCAGTTTCCATTGCTTCATTCATCAGGAGAGTTTATGCTGCAACTCTTGGAAGTCAGTTTTATTGCATGATGTAATGGAGAAAATAATGAAGATTACAAATTTTCTTTATGCTTATGTTTTTTTAAACCACTGCCAGTTTGTGGATATTGAAGAAGTCAAAGCAAAGAAAGTATTATAGATTTAGTTTGTTTTAATTTATTCAAGTGGTTAGGTCCTGGAAATTTTTGAAGAAATATATTGAAGTGTTTTTAGAATTAAAGTCTTAAATCCCACTTGGTAGACCTCCAAAGGCCCCCAAAGGCTGCACACTTTCCCCTGATGTTACATAACAGAACTCTCTCTGTCCACTATAAAAGTGGATGGTTTTGTATTCAGACTCAAACTTGACACGTGGATTGAGAAGGTGTTGCCTGACACTGTTCTGTTTTCAATGCTGAACTTCTCTGAGCTCAAAAGGAATAAAAGATTTGAAAGAGTTACACTTATTTAGTGAAAAAATAAGTCCTGATTTTGGAAGCTATTCAGATTTTGGTGATTGTTGAGTCGTGGTCTCTGTGACTTTGTGATACAACCATAGGATGTATGTGATTATAGAGGCCCTGCCCTATTTAGGTGGCTCATTTTCCAAAGAAACAGCTTGTGCTAAAAGCAAACTACATTTATTAACACACGATCTTAGTGAACATTTAGAGTTAAGTGAGAAAAGAAAGAAACTGTGAAAGGAAAAATCCATATTAATGGGTAACTGTTTGTATCAGCTCTGCTCCCCTCTTCCAGCCTCCTTAAGAGGAGGGTCCTGACTTGAGACCAATTCTTTTGGGCTTGTGTGGTTCTGGATTAGGAGGAAAGAGAGCTGGGGGGAAAGATCTAAAGCACGCAGCCAGGACTGGAGAAGAGTAGGGCGTTTTGAAAGACAGGCACACAAGCAGCTACCTTGTGTGGATGAGAGAGAAAAGAGAAGTGTTTAAGATCCATTGTTTGTTATTTATCTGCTTCGCAGTGTCTAGGCTATAAGAATTTTTTGTATTTTGAAATTAGGTTTCAGGTACTTGCCTGTGTGTTTTGAGTAGAGTACTGCTCTAAGTAAGACTGAGCCATGCGGTTCACAGATTTATAAACATCACACAAAATACTAATCTTGAGCTTTAGAAATTTCTGGACAAATTCTGAGTAGTGTTTGTCACTGCCTAGCTATTTTTGTTTGTTTTGGGGTGTTTTTTTTGCGGTACGCGGGCCTCTCACTGTTGTGGCCTCTTCCATTGCGGAGCACAGGCTCCGGATGCGCAGGCTCAGTGGCCACGGCTCACGGGCCCAGCCGCTCCGCAGCATGTGGGATCTTCCCGGACTGGGGCACGAACCCGCGTCCCCTGCATCGGCAGGCGGACCCTCAACTACTGCGCCACCAGGGAAGCCCTGCCTAGCTATTTTATGAAATTGTAGAGAGAAAAGCCTTCATCAGTAAAATAACCTCAATCAGATTGTTATGAGATTAGAATGAAAACACCTTCATATCTCCTAGAATAGACTAGAGTGTGAATATAAGTATCTTCCTTAAATTGACCAGTGAGTAGCTCTGGGTAGAACAGTATACTTTTTTTTTTTTTAATACAAATAAAGTTTACTGTACTGGTTTGGGAATTGCATATGTTTTACTGCTAAAAGCATTAACGTTTTGAATTGCGAATAGGCTATACTCACCATCAGTAACACAAATTTAAAATATTCATAGAACTGAGCTGAAAACATGCTCCCAGGCATAGCAGGCAGTGAAATATCTGGTCAACGTATAACTTGAACAATCATTTCTTGAGTAATTTACAATATGTTTTGGCTAGAAACAGTGAAAGCTGGCTCTCTTTTAATTAAAAAAAAGTAGAAATATCTTCTCTTTTTCTGGCCTGTTTAATGTATTAAAGTGCTTTCACAAAACTAATACCATGGCGCCAGTTCAATACAAAAGGTTGGAAAGATGTTCCTCTTTTTTTTCATAAAGTTAACGTACCTTTTCCACATTTGTATTTGTTCAAAGATTAAGCTTTGTATCTGGAAGTCCTTGACTAGAAGTGGCTGGGAAATAGAAAGCTTGGACTCTGAAGGTTTCATTCAGCCAACATCCCTGCAGCCCCTCCTTTGTGCAAGACACTGTACTCAGTGCCAAGCTGGGACACAAGAGTCAACAGGAGGCAGTCCTTGCTCTGAGGGAGCCAACAGCCCGGCCAGGGAGGGGCCCAACTAGGACTTCGAAATAAACTGAAAGATCACAAGGCGGCTGCACAGCTGACGTGCCCGTAACTATCACAGCAAGGAAGAGCATCAGTCCACAAAGGCAAAGTCCGCCTTCCGTCTGATCTGTGTAGACCCCCACGCCCCCCAACCCGCCCCCGAAGCCCCAGGTCTAGAGAAGTGGACCTCTACAGAGCAGGGTCTAGTGTTCGCCCTCCCGGCCGGAGGGTGTCAGGGCGCAGGGCGACAAGGAGAAACGAGAGGGGGAAGCAGAGGCCCAGGCAGCAGAGGGGAAGTGGCCCACGCGACCCCCGAAGACGCTGCAGCAGGTAGGGCGGGCTGGCGAGGGTCCGCTCGGCTCTCAGCGCCGTTCCTTCCCGAGGAGTGAAGCCCGCGGTGCTGCGGCCCTCGCCGTCTGACCGGAGGCTCCACTGGCGCGTCGCAAGACTGAAGGCGCTTCGAGGCTCGCACAGCGAGGCCGGCGCCTTGGGGGCGGGACGTCGACGAAGCCCTGCCTCTGGCTCCTCCCCCCCAGGAGCGCGAGCCGGTCCCGCGCGGCGCCATCCCTTTCCCGGGTCATCGCCCCTCCCCTCTTCCGGGCCGCGAGCCCCCCGCGCGCCGCTTCAGAGCCGCGTTCGCTCGCTCGCTCGCTCGCGCGCGCCCACCAGCCCGCCCTCTCAGCGCGCGCTCGGCCGCCCGACGACGCGGGAGCCGCACGCGCCAGACTAGGCTCGCCGCGCTCATTGCCGCCGAGCGCCGGCCCGCTGAGGCGGCGCCCTCGGTTCCCGGCCAGGAGGGAATCTGTGGCCCCAGAGCGGAGGCGGCGGCGGTGAGAAGACCGGGCCGGGAGGAGGCGGACATGGCGGGGCTGAGGGCTTCGGGAGGAGGGTGGTCCGGGCGCCTTTGCGGCCACGTCGAAGGCTCGCGGGCGGGCAGCGCGCGGGGGAACCAGGAGGAGTGCGGGGTCGAACCTGCTTGCATCGGCTCTGGCCCGGAGCGAAGGAAGGGCTGGGGACGGAGGGGAGCGGCCCGCGAGGGTTTCCGCGGGACCCTCAGCGGCATCGCGACGGAGGAGACGCCGCCTCGAGGCTCCTGCCACGTTTTCACCGCGCGTTACCTTCTGCTCGCGGTGGGCGACAGCCCTGCGC